CGAAAGCGACATGCAAGGCTCTTTTACAGTAGAGTGAGAAAAACCAATGGACTAAAGAAAGCTTACTGAGGTGAGTAAATGACTAAATTGTTTTTTGCAACAAAATGGTAACAGTTAGGCTGAATAGGCAGAATGGTACTCGGAAAATGACTTTGTGGTCACCAAGATATGTGCATTTTTATAGACACCTGCGTAAGTTAGCAGAACAGAAGAAGCAATGCTTTCATTATAGTTCTCATTCCTGACACCTCTGGCACTGTGGTGAGTCTTTGGAAATGAAACTGAGGATGAGAAGTCATGTACACAGTCAGAGGTGAATTCTGAGAATCACAAAGATGGAAGATGTTTTGGTATTGATGTGGCTTTGATTATGATATGTTGTCTTCACACTAATGTCTCATAGAGGAATTTCTTTTATGGCGGTGTACAGAAACTACAGCAGGGCTCTTCAAATCTGGGCCTCGATTCCAAATCCAGGCCTTGTTTTCAGTTCTCCCAGGTAGTTAGTTTAATAATTGCTGATTCTGATTGATCAGAGACTTCATACCTGACTGACAGGTAAAGGAAGGCTGGAAAACCAGCAGTGCTCGGACCTCGAGGACCGTGATTTGAATAACCCTGAACTATAGGATCTCAATTCTGAAATCTGTACGCTATTCACATGCACCTATTTGTCAGCAGTTTAAGATGCGTAATCATATTTGTAACCAGTTCAAAAATACGTAATCGTATCTGGTTTTGTAAAGTATGTTTTTTTTCTTCTTACATAAGTGAGATGTGGTGATGGGGGATTGCACCAATAAGTGTGGCAACTGTTTATCCTTATCAACAGCACTGTAGTGGTCACAACCGAGAGGACAAATTTAACTCACCCATAGGGCTCCTTAACACCATTCCCTCAGCCCCATGGATTAGTGATGTTGAGTAGTAAAGGCTCCTGACTGGATGAGTAAAAGTACATTAACTGTGTAGCTAGAAGTTCTTTCACCTAACATCGGTGAAAAGAAAAATTCACCACTATGCTAGCTAAATAATTTATATCATTAGACATTTAAATATGACCAATGAATCCTGCCCCTTATATGTTTTTGGACTTTCTAGGTTATCCACATGTTAGATTTCCTCTCAGGCATGGGCTTTGGGAAACTGGTGTTTTTAAACAGCACAGGGTCCACCATCACCCTGATCCACCCGGGCGTGCTGCCAGACACCAATAGAACAACATAAGCTGGATGGGAGGCCACGGATATCCAGTGATGGGCATGTAGATGGCCATGAGGTGGAAGAGGTAGCTTGTAGACATGATGGCAGGGCATATGGTGGTGCATAAGGTCTGGCTAGTCAGCATCGCCGACCCCTGCATCATCAGACTGGATTTGCTAGTCTGCCTGGGGGCAGCCCTCTGCCTCAATGCAGATGTGGTGGTCCTCCAGTGTGACAGCAGTGACCAGCGCCAATGGAGGCGGAAGTGAGGAGGAGAAGAGAGCAGTCCGCAACTCCCGGAAGATCTCTGACAACAGCACAGCTGCAACCCCAACCTGGATTGCAGAGAATAGCAACACCGCAGTGGGGCCGTCTCTCTAGACAGTGCAGGCTGTCCAAGAACTGTAGCAGTGCAGCAGCCAGGACCTGACAGCCACGCAGCAAGACAAGCTCAGAGCTCTATTGCGCTCGTTTCAAGACATCTTTACCGCCAGAACCGAAGAATGCTGACCCGCTTCCCTGGTGCAGCGCCACATTGATATGGGAGATGCCCTGCCCATCTGCCTGCATCTGCACAGACTGCACACTAGTGAAGCAACAATTGGCACATCTGAGAGATGGCAGCGGCGGGTGCCATCAATCTCCCCTTCGGCGGCTCCAGTGATCGTCATCACTGAGAAGCACGGGTTGTAACATTTCTGCGTCAGCTATCATTGGGTGAATGTGGTGATGAGGAAGTATTCCAATCTGCTGCCACGCATTGAAAACATGCTGGATTACATCATTTGATCGATGTGGTTCAGCTCCTTAGACCTCTGGAGTGGCTACTGGGAGGTTGATCTGACCCTGGAAACCTGCCCTAACACCATGTTCACCATTGATCAGGGGCTGTGGCACTTCTGGTCAATGCTATTTGGCCTGTGCAACACCCCAGGTATCTTTGAGAGGCTCAGGGAGTGTGTCCTGGCCCACGTCCCCCAGAAACAGTGTGCCGTCTATCTCGATGATCTGCTGGTGCACGCCGTTGACTTTGCTGAGTACTTTGGAACCTGGCAGCTGTGCTCTCAGGGATCCGGTGGGCAGAGTTGCGAGTGTTACCCTCGGAAATGCACCCTCCTCCAGGGCACTTCCTGGGCCACCTCATCAATGGGGAAGGTGTGGTTATCGACCCAGAGAAGGCGACGGCACTGTGGGGTTGGACCACCCCGTGTTTAGAGCTGCACAGCTTCCTGGGGCTGGCGTCATACTATCAACGTTATAGAAATAACTTCGCTAGCATTACGAAACTTCTGCTTTGTCTTACAGAGAAGGGAAGCAGTTCCACATGGACGGATGCCTGCATGGCGGCTTTTAACCAGCTCTGTGTGTTTCATTTTTATTCTGAACACAAAACAATAGCGAGGCTAGGTGCTGTATTTTCTCAGTTGGGACCTAAAGGGGAGTGTGTAGTTGCGTACTTCAGTCAGACACTTAGTGGACAGGAGCGTGACTGCTGCATAATCCAATAGGAGCTGCTAGCAGTGGTGTGGCATTATGATGGCTTATATTTCACCTGCATAGAAAATGATGAATATGAGGCATATAAATTAATTTCACAAATTACCTTCAGGTTTCACAAGCACCAAGGTACATAATATGTGTAGGTCTAGTCATGTTCCTCAACCACAACTTGAAAATGAGCTGTTAAATTCTGACTTTAGAGCATTTTGATAGTCTGGATGCTGCCTGCATAGAAAATAATGAATAGGAGACATATAAGCTAATTTCATAAGTTATCTACAGGTTTCACATGTGCCAAAGTGCATGATATGTGTAGATCTAGTCATGACCTTCGACCAAAAGCTTTGGAACATTAGGATGCGCTATGTTCCATCTGCATAGAAAATAATGGACATGTTGGCTTATATTATTATTTAGTGTTTCACTAGTGTTAGTGGGCCCTGTATGTGCTTGTGATTTTGTGTAAATATATCACACATTGGAATTCAGCTTCAAAGGGTTGTATGTCTTAAGAAGATAAGAGCATAAGAAATTCATAAACGAGAGGAGGCCATTCGGCCCATCAAGCTCGTTTGGGGAGAACTTAACTAATAGCTCAGAGTTGTTAAAATCTTATCTAGCTCTGATTTAAAGCAACCCAGGGTTTTAGCTTGTACTACACTAACAGGAAGACTATTCCATACTCTAACTACACACTGTCTAAAGGAGTGCTTTCTCAAATTCATTTTTAAATGCTCTCCCGCTAATTTCCACTTATGGCCACGAGTTATAGTATTTAAACTAATACTGAAGTAGCCATTTGGCTGAACAGCATCCAGACCTGTTAGAATCTTAAAGACCTGGATCATGTTCCCCCTTAGTCTCCTTTGCTCGAGGCTAAACAGATTCAGCTCAGCTAACCTCTCCTCATAAGACATTCCTGTAAGACCAGGATTCATTCTCCTAGCCCTACGTTGCACCCTTTCCAAGGCAGCAATGTCCTTTTTAAGGTATCGTGAGTAAAACTGCACACAATATTCTAGGTGGGGTCTTACCAAGGAATTGTATAATCGTAGCATCACCTCCCTTGACTTAAAGTACCTTACATTTATCTACGTTAAATTTCATCTGTCAGGTATCAGCCCAGTCGCTAATTAAATCAAGATCCCGTTGTAGCCTCTGTGCTGCTAGTTCAGTATCTACTGCACCACCTACCTTGGTGTTGTCTGAAGATTTAACCAGTTTACTGTATGTATTGGTGTCAATGTCATTCATGTAAAATAGGAACAATAGTGGTCCTAAAATTGAATCCTGCGGTACCCCACTATGAACGCAGGCCCACTGTGACATTGTGCCTCTAATAACTACTCGCTGCTTCCTGGCTGTTAACCAGTTTTCGATACAAGCTGCTACAGTTCCTAAAATCCCTGCATCTTTGAGCTTAAGCAATAGCTTTTGAGCTTAAGTAAAGGCCTTCTGGAAATCTAAGTAGATCACATTGTAGGTCTTTTTGTGATCAATTTCTCTTGTAGCTTCCTCAAAGAACTCAAGTAAATTAGTTAAACAGGATCTACCTCTCCTAAATAAATCCATGTTGGCTATCCCTCAGAATGTTATTTGAACCCAGGTAATCTACCATTTTCACTTGGATTATAGCTTCCATTACTTTTCCAGTTATGCAAGTTAAATTGATTGGCCTATAGTTTGCTGGATTACTTCTATCCCCTGTTTTGAATATGGGCGTCATATTAGCATTCTGTAATAACAATTTGTTGTGAATGTCGTTATTCAATTTGGAACTTTTATTTTGAAACATCGCTTACTGTCAATAGAGCATGTGAATGCACAACAAGAGCTAGATTATTTCTTATTTTGACAATTTATTGGATGTAGTAATTGAATAAGCAAGGTGTATATGTAATTAAACAAACGTACTTGAATTTGTTAATGTGGGGTTTGCACATTTTTGTAATATTTTAAGAGTAAATATAGAGAAGATCTGTGAATGTCTTGCTAATATCGAACCCACTTTCCACCAGTCAGGTGCCGCTGAAAATTTCTGCTATGGTAGCAAATTCTGGCAAGGGAGCAAAAATAGCAGAACACCGGCGTTTTATGACATTGCAACGCGAGGTAAGGTATTTTATACCTAATTCTAAAATTGGCTGTATAGTGTATTATACGACTGGGCAATGTCACCTAGCCAATCATAATAATTTTCATCTTTGCAGTTTAAGTCAGTCCTAGACTGTCACGATCTGCTTTTTTATGATCCCTTTCGCCTTCCCGTCTCCTCATTCTTGGGCTTATTAACATTCCCATGTCAATCAGTGTGTTTAGCTGGACGTACGGGGTGATTGTTGCCGTGTGAAACCCCGACTCCTGCAGCCCAGCGCCCCGCTTCGGCGGCCGGTTTGTGCGGACGCTGACCGGCGTCGGACGCGAGGGGCGGGGGCTGATGCCGGGCTGATGACGCGGGGTACAGGGCCGTGAGTCAGCAGCTGTACGGACCGCCGCTGTAGGCGCGCAGAAGCGCCCTTCGCTTTGCCGAACGCAGACTCGGCTACCCGCTTTCCGCACGGTGAACATGGCGCTCCCCGCATCCCCGGATCTGCAGCTGAGCACAGCGGCACAGAGCGGCTCGGTCAGCGGCGGCGAGCGCGACCTGCGCCTCGAAGATAAGGAGTGGAAGGAGATAACGCGAAGGGGGGACGACGGCACCTCCCTGCCCCTGCATTCACCGTGGACCTTTTGGATTGACAGGTACGAACGAAGACCAGCAAACCGACCTCTTTTATTTTATATTTTGGCTTATAGAGAACAGCGTAACCCCACTGCCGCGTCCGACCTACAATGGCCTCCGTGTAGCTAGCTGGGGAATTAGCTAACCTGCTAGCGGTAGCTACTTGGACATGATTGTTATTTTTTGGCTGAAGTATCATCGTATCGGTTTAAATATTCATAAAGTGGCGGCCAGACTTCCGTGTTGACGCGGATGGCTTATTAGTTACAAAGCAAACGCCGCGTTATTGGCCGTTTAAACAATAGGGTGGACATGTTCAACGAAACATCACAACAAATACACGATGATCTGTATAATATCAGGTAAGCATCCATTCACGAGCCGAGTGTTTGCGTTGTGAACTGGCTCTTTAAGCATCTAGGCACTTAAAAGAGTACATGCGTTACTTATCCACAAGTTGTCATATTTATGTTGCCGGCTAAAATCATTTTTCACAATCCCCCCCTGGATCCAGCGTCATTTCTGTAAGTTTTCAAGCAATTTGAAGGTAGCGATGGTGTCAATGGGAAGTGTGGCTAAATTCTTCGACGTTTTATTCATCTCTATGCGCCTATCGCCTCATTTTATAGTTAATGGACTGTGAAAGATGAATATTTCTTATTTAGTAGTTTTGACTATTCATTATTAAGCTTTTTAATAGTGTGCTAAATATACGATCTGTGGTGTGTCGCTATATTTTATAAACCTATTTGCAGATGTTTTCATAGTAACTGTGGTTTTTATAGTAGAAGTGCTGCTCTTTTGAATATATAATTTTTTTGTCGTGGAAAATTTTTTATCTCATCTAGTAGGTAGCCAAAGTTTCATAGTAGTCTCATGATGCCAGTAAGTGTGTTTTCTTTATTGAAATCTTAGTCCTCCATAGTGTGAATTCTTCAGCTCAATAGACCTGAAGAAATGCTGGTCAGGCTTTTTCAGGTGTAGACAGTTCTGCTATGTTCTGTTGCCAAAGCCGCTGTGTTATTGTAGAGTTTGTTAAATCTTAGTGTGGTTTGCAGTGTCCCTTATTTGTAAAACTTCTCAGCCAGCTCCATGTTGTTGATTTGTACAGCTGTCATGAAGGCTAGTACTGGAACTGTACTTAGTGGAGAGACAGGTGGCGATGGGGCATCTGCTTGTTTTGGATCTGTGGATTTATACCCATATCTGGGAAGCCCCTTGTTGACAGAACTATGTTGTCTAGTTTCTGTTCTGTAACTGGCATTTCATGAAGTTGAGCAGAAGAATTATATGCAGTTTCTTCTGTATTTGTAAAATTTGTGTCCCCCCTCTATTACTGTAATAAGTTGTTTTTGGTTTGTCACATTAAAGTGTTAGGTAGGATAAATGCAAATTTAATCTATTTCTACTTGAATGATTCTGACAATTGTAGAAACTGTCTGTTGACTTGCCTGTGTAGCCCTTCATGTACAGAAGTTTCAATTCATTGTTTGTTAAATTGAATCGTGGGGAGCCAGTGTGTTGAAATATGTTATGTGCCTTGCAGGTGGTTTAATGTTTCTAAAGCTGGATTACTGATCTGTCATGGACAATAACAAACTGAAAGTGTGCTAACTCATGTTTACTGTGAGAGCAGAGTCCAGTGATGATAAACTGTTACCCAGTTCATTTAGTGACCCTGAGAGACCAAAGGGGAAATACTCAACAGTCAACATAGAGACAAAATGGCAACATCCCTGCGGTCGGCCCTGATACAGATAATCAGTGATGTTAACATAGGTGGCTGTAATACTGAGATGCTACTGAAAGACCTGATTATGTGTATCAGGTATGTTAAATTAGGGCCGCACCTAAGTTCTGCTGGTAGATCTCCAGGTGAAGGACTGAGCACCCCTACTACAGATCTTTAGAAATGACCAATCTTAAAACCCTGTAGAAAAGCAAGGTCTTTTTTGAAACTAGAAATGTCTTGTCAACTGACATTTATCTCATCTACAGGTCATTACCAGGAACGACAGCAGCGGAGTGTGAATCGAACCTCAAGAAAATCTACACTGTTCAAACCATTCAGGTGCCTTATTGATTCATCATAGCAAGGTGTCCAGGCCAGACACAACAACCGTATGACAGCGGGAGTCGTAAGACATATTATTACCCAAGACAAACTCTGTACCGCAGTCTCAAGTAACAGACCTAGGAAACCTGTTGTAAAGTCACCAGCTTCAGCCCAAGCTTTATTAACCAAGAAGTTAAACCACAAAGCGGAACGGCACCTGTATCGTTTGCTTAGGGTAGAAAGAGTCTCTTGACTGGCAGCTGTTAGCATGTAGCTAGCAGTAAAGGACTGTCGTTCGGCTGGTTTTGATTCCCTGCTGACAACGATAACAGAAAAAAGAGATAGCAAAGCCGTCCCACACGGTTGCTGTTCTTTGTGCTTCCAAGAGAAGTGAGTATTGTATTAATAAGAACAGGAGGGACGCTGCTTTTAATCTTTTACTTGTTTTTCTGTTTTCCTCTTGGTTTCATCCATGAAGTGTTTCTGGAGTGTTTACAACAACATCCCCGTAGTGTCCGCCTTACCTCTGAGGTGCAGCTACCACTTAATGAGAGGGGAGAGGAGGCCTCTGTGGTGAGTGTCCCCCTCAGTCTCGCAGTGCTTGCGCTTTGGATCACCTCTCCTTTAAATAATGGGGCAGTTGCCGAATGCTGATTTTAGGTCCGCAAGTGGCAGATTAAGAAAGTGTGGGAAACAGTGGTTTATGGCGTTCTTTTGTAGATGGATGCTTTGGTTATTGTGCCCTGTACTGTTAACAGGGAGGATGAAAGTAATGCCAAGGGTGGAGTATGGAAGATGAAAGTACCCAAAGAAAGCACTGTAAGTAGCGTGAGTCTGACTGGTGAGTCCCTGTCTGAATGCAAATGACTCGGTTTCTTAAAAGGACTCTCTCTCTCTCTCTGGACAGTGTGCGGTTTGGAAAGAATTGCTGCTGGCTACTATTGGAGAGCAGTTTACGGATTATTGTGCTTCAGGTCAGTATTGATTACAGGCTGACCGGTGTGTTTATAGGGGAGGGCAATGCAGAATAATCTTCATACCCAGGTGTACTAGGGCTAGCCTGCAGGGAACATTCAAGCATTAGGACAATGTGACAGCTTCTGTTAAAGACGCCTTGAAACTTTTAATTTTGCATTCAAAGAGAAGTTTTTACTTTCATTAAAATAATTATACCGAAGAAACCTCCACACATTCATCTAAGCTTTCTAAAAGCAAGAACTATTATAAATAAATTCACTGAGTATCTTAGTCCTCTGCCTGCTTCTCCTTAAAATTAAGCCTTCAGTTATTTTTTTTTTCTTTAAAACCTCTTTACTAGAATTAAAAGCAGAGATTATGCAAATGCATTTCCTTTCACATGTCTTCCATTGCTTTAATAACTCTGGTTCCCCATAAAAAAGCATTAGAGATTATGCAAATGCATTTGCATGTCAATACTCCATTTTCAGAAGATGAAGTTGTTGGTGTGAGTGTCAGTGTGCGGGACCGGGAGGACGTGGTTCAGGTCTGGAACGGGAACTCTGCCTACGCCAGTGAAGCAAATATCCTTGGGAAAATTTATGAGCTCCTCCCACAAATATCTTTCAAAGCAGTATTTTATAAGCGTAAGTATTACACCACTCGTGTCTTCATTTCATTCATAACTTCTAGTGCTTTTGTGCTATGTTGTAGACAGTGACATTATGTACTCTCCAGTGATGTCCAAAGTTGATATCAAAGATCGATCCAGGTTTTTAAAATTTTTTATAGGTATCCTCTGTCATAGCTTGACCTAAAGCACAGTCTGTTCTAATTTCCCGCCCATGCGCAGTTGACATTAGTTTGTAAAGTTATGTCACATGCTACAGTTAGCTTGAGGCACCTGGCTTGAAAATACAAACTACTGAGATGTCAGCCGTGTGGAAATTCTTTAAATTGGAAACTTAATGGTGCCTGGGAGCTACCTGCAATGTTTGCAATGGCATCCTTTCGAAGGGAGGTAGCAAAAGAATGTAGTTAATACAACGAATCAAATTATGCACTTGCAGAAACCTTGTAAGGAAGGACACTGCAAAATTGCGAAGTGTAAGGCCTTTGCACACAAAGTCTGAATTTTTCATATAGGTTTTTATAATCTGTCATCCGATGATAACCGCTACAAACAGAAACCTTTCACAGTCCAATGCGTTTTAATATTCTGTAATTGCAAAAATTTCGAATATGAGACTAAATGGATTCGTCAAGCAGTGAGGATGATTTTGTGGTCCTCTAACTTATTCTGAGCAGGAAAAAAAGAGAAAATACTGGGTCCATCCGATTCCAAGTAGCCAGTATGGGCAGGGAGAATTTTACCTGCTGATACAGGAAATACAGAATTATCCTGATGGGTGTATTTCAGAACATCACTGGTTCAGTTTGATATGCTACTAACAATACTGGACCATATTAAAAAGAAGCCCATCATTTTGGTTCAGTTGAAAATTGAACTTGTTCCAAAAACTTTACAGTTGACAGATGAAAGTTTCGGATTTGGTGTGTAAACGTGATTGACACAGTGTGAGGTCATATTTATTTTTAAATGTGCAACAATTTCGGATGAAAAATATGGACTCTAAAAAGACCCTTACTCAAACGAAGAATTCAGCAATGCCAAATCTATGTGTATGTGGGACTTGAAATCAGTAGAAATAGATATTGAATGGATCCTATTGGGGAACTAGAAAAGCTGATTGGGACATCCCTATTTCACGCCTTTAATCACTCAAAGTGTGGCTCTCAGCATTCATGGTCAGTGGAGTGTGTGGGTCTCAGCTCTTTGAATCTTTGCCTTGGTTATTAAAATTTACTGAGTGTTTAGTTGTTTATGCAGCTTGAGGTCCAAGAGGTCTGAGCTGGTGAACCTCCAATCTGAGTGGGTATGTGACTTCTCCTCTCCAGCTCATGTGGAGCACCGTGCCTTTGAAGGAGGTCGACCCCGACATTGAGGTCCATTCTGGCCCTCAGCATGAGGCATTGGACAGGGAAGGAAAACAACTCCCTCACCGGAGCACTACTCTGCATCATCTGGAACCTCACCAGCCGTCTTAAATGGGCCTGTCCGCCCGCACCTCTGCCAGTAGATATCTGCGTGTTTGGCACGGATGTTAGATCCCTTTTACGGTGTATTTCTAGTCTAGGTGCTTGTGCGGCAGGCGTTGCGGGAGGACACCTGAAAATGGAACAGTGCTAGTAATCGTATACAGAGGTGTACTGTGCGTTTGCAGTGGAATGAAGTGGACCGGTGCCTGGCATGACTTGTGCTGCGACGTTGCATCCAGTCAGAGGGTGCAGGATGAATAAGCCAACTTCACATTTTGGTGCTGCTCTCTGGATGCCACACTGGAGAAAGGGAAAAAAAATGAAGAAAAAAAAAAAAACAGCTGTTCTTCTCATGGCTGTGAAATGGAGATTGGATACTGTACACAAATCTGCCCCCCCTCAATGTATTTCTGTCTGTCTGTCTTATTGATGAGGAACCAGCGCTGCCTCTTTGTTTTGATATATGGCATCTGTGTTTGGTGCCAAATGATTGTTCACCTTCACAGTGGTGACTCCCATCTCTACTATTGTTGAAAAGTGTCATGAAATCTTGTTTAGAGGTTTTTTTTTCCAGTGTTGTCACTGGAAATTACTGCCACGTTTGCCACTTTTATTCTGATTTTGTTTTTACGGTAGATGTACCATGTCCTTATTCTTATTGTATCACTGATTGATTCTGGAAAGAGAACTGATGTTTCATTTTAAAAATTATTTACATCACTGTCTAATGATACTTTTTATAGCATTAGTTTTGCATTTCAGGCTTTTTTTTTTTTTTTTTAAAGGTTATTGTCTAAACAGAAAATGTCATTCATTGTAATTTCAGTCGAGTTATGCTTTTCTTTAAATTCTGGATGTAGAAATGCATGTTACACCCTGTGTCATGCTATTATTATGCATAACGTGAATTATCCGATATTCCAAAAATGAATGAGTAGATACTAGTGAAAATTGCACGAAATTGGTATTAGTTATGTATAAATGTGGTCAAAATCATGCCACGTGTTATGCAATATTTGGAGAGAGATTCATGATTTACCAAAATATGCACTTTTTCCACTGTGCCACGCTATTATGCAAACCTATGTAATTGCAACAATAGTTTTATCAAGGTGATTTCTACAGAAACACAGGATTTTTTTTTATCGTTATTTAGAACAGACAGTAAAGGTGTTGAGAAAATTCTTACATAACAATCTTCCGCATTGAAGAGCTTATTTACTCATGAGCAGTTATGATCAAAAATGAGTCTTTGCTCCACTGAATTGGTTAGATTCTGCATTTCTGAGGGTAGATCCCTTCTTGCTGATGTTGAACTAGCACCCTACAGTTCATCTTTTGAAGGAAGCTGATGTTCCGAGGAATAATTTTGTTGCTTGATAACGCTCCATAGGTTTTCAATGGGATTCAAATTGAGCAAAGATGCTGGCTGTTCCATCAGATGAGTGTTTTTGAAGCCCAGTTTCATCAAGCGCTCTTCTGTCTTCCTTGGCAGCATGTGATAGAGCATTGTCATGCATGAGTATCATTTTCCTTCTTAATGCCTCGGCGCACTGGTTTCTCAGAAATTCAATATAAGCAGCAGCAGTCAAATTTACACCTTCGGGAACTTGCCAATTACCAGTTAGTGTACTACCAATTATTCCAGTGCAAGACCTCAACCTCCTTGCTGGCATCTGTGTGAGAAGATTAGGACTGTCATATCTGACCCAGCCCTGGCTCCATCCATCAGGTCCATCAGTGAACATTACAGCTTGGATAGTTTTTGAGGCCATTCCACATACTTAACTTTCTGACTGCCCTTTCTTGGAGGTGAAAAATCTGTCTTCAACTATTAGCCATGGTGGTGGAATGTCCTACGTTTTTTTTGTTTGTCTTGATACATTGGTGGCACCAGCCTGGTCAAATGTCTTTGCATTTGGCTAAAGGCTTTTTCGTCAGCACTTGTTTAATGAGAAAGAGTTTGTCTTGTGAAACATATTTCGTTTTTTCCTTATGATCTTTTCCTAACTACATTCAGTTCTACTGTATTTATGGCACAAGTTTATAATTCGGTTACATCTGTCTTACATCCCCTAAATTTAATGTTTTAACCAATTTGCACAACTTGCTTAGTATACTTGCTTAGTAGTACTGTGGGGGGAAAAGTGCAAAGATGACAGCAACTTTTGTACTCTGGTGCAGTAATCAATGAAATTTTCACATGATGCAGCTCACTTTCATTAATGTGAATATGCGAAGGCATTATAACGAACTACAACAAAATGTTTTGCATACTAGCGTGGTACATAGTGTATAGAACAGATAGCTTGAAATTAGCAGATTTCCGGTCTGGTGTCATGTTGCTGTGCAGGGTGCTCCTCTCCTCAGCTGTCCCTATTAGTTACACTTTGATTATTGACTTATGTGAAATAAGTTTGGCATTTTTCTGAGTTTCTATTTGGCAAAGTACATTGTATCTTTTGTTCAAGGTATAAAATAGATAACCTCTGAAAACGTATATAATCTAAACTGTATTTCTTTACCAAAGAGGTGATCTTTCCCCCCAATGTTTTACATAGCATGGTAGCTCTACCAAGAACTCCACAGGTAAAACCACTGTAAACTTGTAACTGCCTAACTCTTTATTAAACTCCCAGTCTGTTTTTTCAAAATCGTAGAATATTTTTATATTAATTTCCTAAGGTTTTAAGTAGTCCAAAATTTAGAAATAAATGCAAGGTTTTAAATTTATTTCAGAAAGTTACATTTTGGGGGGTTGTCAAAGCAAACGCAGTAGGTCAGGGAAAAATGCTTTAGTGACTCAGGTCTGTCATGTGAGAACACGCCAAAAGCACACTGTCGTCATCAAGTAGTATCAGATGTGTTGAGAGGGTCAAGGTTTTCCTCATTACTGGGACATTGTTACAATAGCACACATCCTTAATGTGTTTCTCTCATGAATTTCTGTGGATTCTCAGTAAAGCTCTGAGACTTCTCAATGAGTGTAGTTCTGTTAGAAAGGTGCCTTTGTGCTATCAGGGTTAAATCCTGGAGTGTGTTGGTTTTATTTCAGGATATTTAATCTATTATAATGTAAAAATAATTTTTGCCTGTAGGTTTTGGGCAAAACTTGAAAATAAAACATTGAATCAATAATGTTGTCCTGTTGGTATTGCGTTATTTTTAGTGCTTTACAAACATGTTCTTGCTTGATGATTTGCTTTCATTTTGCTTTTAAATTAGAAGCTGTAAAATTTTGAGATGATCCTGCACTTCTGATTTATGAGCTGAAGGAGACAGCACCTGGAGCGCATACTTAAATTTATAATTGTACAAATTTTTCAAGCCATTGTCCTATGCTCCAGTTTTTTGGAAGTAACTGAAGGTGAAATCGTAGCATTGAAATGCTAATTTCAAGGATGATTTAAAAAAAAAAAAAAAAAGTGAACCAGCATATTTTATACCTGGTACATGTATCATAAGGGTGTAGGCAACTGCCTTGGGCCCCTGAAAACTATAGGCTCCATGAAGTCTGAATTTGCAATAGTTATATTTATGGGTGTTTAATAATATGATTTAAATTATTGCAACATGCCACAGCAAAAGAGGTAACTATTAAACATTAATTTTGGCTAATTGACCCACCAGAGCAATACTCCCCTCCCCGATAGGCAAATGTTGCTGACAGCACTCGTACCCCACCCTGATTGATGTTCTACCGCTGGCACACCACACTTTCATTAACGTATTATTGATATTCCATCATTTTCCCCCCTCGTTACTCTTAGTTCCAAAAAATAGCTCAGCTGGCTCACTTACAGGACCCTGGAGAAGTCTGTCCCCAGCCCCAAAGGTTCTCTAGACCAGTGTTCTCAACGAGTGGGTCAGGAATAAAATGGACCCTGAGTTTAAAGCAGTTAAACCACCTGAAAAACTTTTTTTTTTTTTCTCCCAGAAACATACAGTAGTATGTTTGGACCATGCAAAATGAAGACCTACTCCCAAAGCTAATATACATTTGTCCCATCACCAACCAAGACTTGTGGCCATAGTTTGCAGTGTCCCTGGCAACTTACCTTTTCAGCTATGTCACTGGGGCTTTGCCCTGCATCATCCAACTGCTTAAAGAAGTTACCATGGTTGTATAATGCAGTCTGACTTAACTGATTCAGACCCTTGAGGAATTTCGTCAGGCTCTCTTTGACGCCTCCATGAAAACACACACCCACAGAAACCAGACCTAGAAAATCAACTGTTTTTTTTTCCCTGGCCACACTTCATTAGATACTCTCACACAGGGAGTCAAGAAGAGACTATGGATGCCGGAGTTATTGCTTCTCATAATCAGTGTTGGCAGTTTTCTATGTTGGAAAATGGAATTTCCAAAAAAGCCTATTCTTTAATGTATTCAGGTGTGAGTTACTACGAGCTGTGTCGACTGCTGTTTAATATAGGCCTACTTATGTTCCAATTTTCCACATTTTTTGTCAATATGGTCCTAAGAAACTACCCAGGAGATATATTTTTAATATTGAAATTCATTTATATAGTAATTTAACGCAATCAGAACTTGAAAAATACCCGACTATCCTCCCACTGCTTATCTTAGTCATGGGGTCTCTGGAGCCTATTCCAGGCAGCATGGAGCAAACGCCGGCGCTGCGACCTGGAGGGATGCCAGCCAGCCCAGTATACCACGTATAATTTAGAGACGCCAGTTAACTCTGTCTTTGGACTGCGTGAGGAAATCGGTGTAAAAGGAGGCGACAAGTTCACACCCGGAACACGGTACTTTTCGAGCCCCCAAGTGAGAGGCAACAGTGCAACCTACTGAGTTATGCTGGTACACGCTTTCCAATAAGTTGCTATAACAATTTCGCATACGACCAGAGAGTGGTGGTATGCATCCACCAGTTTTTAAAATACCGTTATTGCACATAAGATTATTGTAAAATTTATTTTAAAAAAAATCAATTCATTGACGTATGTGGCGCAGATATTAAAACGTATTTTTTAACATCCGTCTCCACTCCAATTATTTTTCCTCAGTTTTGTAAAATCATACTAAAACGAATACTCTAGTATCCCAAGTTGTGTTTTTTCCCCACCGCAAGAGCAAGGTTATCGGTCAGAAAAGCCATCGGCCTAATCGCCGGATTCCCGCTCGCACCTCAGACTCAGGCGCTCCCTCCCTCCTTCCTTTCCTCCGTCCTTCCTTCCCTCCTTCCTCGTGTGCACTATGTCCTTTTACTCAACTTTCGCCGGCTGACTTGCATAATTTAACCGAACCGAACTGGGAGAAAGGTTCCATCTTTCAGCTTCGGCTGCCTTGGGGAAAAAAAGAACCTTCACTTTATGACAAAAGTAAGAAACGAAGATTTTTTTTGCGATAGGCAAACACTCTCCAAAGTTCCGACGCAAATATCACCTCAGGACTTAAACCGTTTATATTTACACGTTACTGCGGATATGCGATCGGATTTTGAGAACCAGCCTTCTGTTTACGCAGCAGGTGGATGTGACGTCACGGCCCTGGAACATCAAATAATAACAACAATCCAAATCCGCCGAGCCTCCCGTGTCTAGAGGCGCATGTAACTGTAGTATTGCCACCGGCAGGCTGTGCCTCGTATCCGGCAGAGGAGCCGCCATGGAGCCGCGATCTCTCCCCCTAGCGCACTCCGCACAAGCCGCAGTCGCTCTCCGTTGCGGTCAAAGTTAATTCACCTAAAGCGGAGTAATATCCTCCTTTACGGAGAGTCTGCTGCGCCTTGTTTTCGGTGAACAGGATCGCCTGCGCGGTTCGGCAGCCGTGTCAAGAAAGTACTATAATTCTTCTTTTTTTTCTTGTTTGCGATCAAGGATTTTCCGTCTTCGGTAAGTTGGTGACCGCTGTTGCTAACGCACGGGCGGGGATTGCTGTACGATTTCTTTCCCCACCGTATTCATATGGAGTGTGGGGTTTTCCCAGGTTTCGTGTTCTGTGTGGATATAACGAGCGAGACGAATTCGTGTAAAAGCCCGACGCTAATAAGTATGACTAAAAACACAGAGTGCTATATTTCCCGTTTATACTGAGAAATGTACTCTAAGGTTCGGCATCTTACGTTTAATGCGCATGCAGTCTCTAGTTAACACTGAACCCCCATAAGTTACGGATGTGAAACATTGAGAATTAAAGTTGACAGATCGGTGTTTGTATGTGTTCGTTTTGCGGGGAAAGCGTGACTGTGTTCAGTGTGTGCGAACACGATTTGTCTGGAAAGGACTGGAACTAAGTGGAGGTAAGTAACCAGCTCCAGTCCCGTAAAGTCTGGGCGTGAGTCGCGATGCCCGCACACACGTGTCACACACTGGCACCCGGCTTTGTCGCGATTCTGCGGGGTTTAGTTCTAATCGCCGTCACATGTGTCCTTATGTACTTTTCTCCAACCATAAATAATGAAGAGTTTGTGCAGAATGATATTGGTATGCTCGTTTGGAAGAAAGAGCCCTGGAAAGATGTGGGAGAACAGTACTTTGATTTTAACTGATCTTTATTCTTGCGTACGTGCCCCATATTTTGTCATATATAGTTTGTAATTTTATGGTTATTATTATTATTAATAATAATAATGATAAAAATGTCCTGTTGTTTAACAAAGATGCATTTTGGTTTCTTTTAATGCGCTTAGATTTTTTAGGATTCCTCTTTACTGATGTTAACACCGGCTTTTCACTTTAATGCCAGTTTACACTTTTACATTTTGATTGATTGACCAAAATCATGGCGTAGTTTCACGTCTTAAGAAGCCATCGTTCACAGTTCGATTTCTGATTTCTTTGTCTAACTACATTTTGCCTTTATGCACAAATTGGCGTGTGGCTAACCTGCAAGGTACACAGTTTGTGCCGAGTTTGAGAATCTGACTCTGTTTCAACTATAGGTCATGCATCTTCCATCTGGGCCTTTATACCCTTACAGACTGGGTGAGGATTATAGAAAATAATTAAAGGGGTGTTTCTTGTTTAAGAATTTCTTATTTAAGAATATAAAGATATGATATTAATTGGGGTGAGAAGCCCTTATCTTATTTTCCTCCATATATTGCTGAATAATATTGGTAAACTTGCTTTTTGGGGCATCGGACTGTACTTGCCATTTCATTTCACAATAGCAAGTGCAAGAGGAGTGCGGATGAGAAACCAAGAGCCATAACAATGACGCACGCAGGACGAATAACGAACAGCCGGGTAAATATTTAACTTAGGCCTCAGTCCATAGAGGAAAACAAACAAACTGCAGACAAATAAACAGGAAAGCAAACTTTGAAGGCTGTGCCACCTGTATATGCAGAGGCTAGCCCCACCCTGCTCTGAATTAAAGGCTGAAGAGGCACCCCCCTGTGAAGTCGGAGCTCAGGTTGAGTGTGTTTCAGGCCATCACCAAGAAAACGGTGTGACATATGGAGGAGAGAGAGAGAAATGGCACACACAAGAAAGCTGCTTGTCCCAGCATATCTCCGTTGTTTGGATAGGCCTCCTGGTTATGGGAGTGCAGGCAATTCTCTCGCTCCACCCTGTTCCCACTTGACTCTGTTGCTGCGGAGCAATCGGTGTGACTGCTCCGGCCTAGATCTCACCATTAAGCTGAACGTTCGCTAATCTTATGTGTAGAAACCACCATGGATAAGCCTCCTAATAACAGTAGTATGCAGCCATATACCTCATAAAGGCTTAACACACAAATGGACGGTTTCAAAACCAGTACTGAGCCCACACTCCAACAAACCTGTTTTTATTTTTGTTTAACTGCTCTTGCTTAGGTCTCAGGTGCCACCGGCGTCTCCACCTTTTGCAAAAATGCGCTTATTTTTGTGTGACAGGCTTGTTTCTTAGTGTCATCCTCATAACATACAAATAGCATGAAGAATGTACATTTGTGTCTTTTTTTTCTGGGGGAAGTTAATTTTAGCAGCTCTGGTGTTTGTATTGGAACAACAGTTCACTGATGCAAGAATGTAAGATTGTTCAAATGAGACAGGACAATGGATACTACAGAAAAATGGGGCAAATAAAACGCTGTTCTGTTGTAAAAACAAAGGGTTGACGATTGATAAATAGGCTGAAATCTTCCAGGATTAAAAATATAAAAACATGAACTTAACATGCTTGTTCTGGAACTGGTGGAGTATGAGACAGAAATTGGGCAGTCTGTGCCATTTATTAACTATTATAGATGGGAAAGTAAGATATATCTAGATGGAATGGGGTATGCTGCTCTGCTGGCTGTTTGCCGAGAAGCCAACTGAGAAAACAAACTGACAGTTGGTGAATAGGGGCTGGGTCCTCTCTTGCAATGCAGGTCAGTGGCCTGTACATAGAAGTGTGATCTGCTTCAGTTTTGAGGACATACTGACCCTCTCAGAGCGTCTTTGTGAACCATTACATGTCTTTTTACATTTGCAGCAGTTCCCACACTTATGAAGTGCTGTTTCTTGTGCCGAAAATGGGCAATGGAACTGTGATATTTATTTATTTCCTTGGGTTTTAATTTCTGTAGGAAATCAATGTTCAGCGAATTTTGTGGTTAATCCTTGGCCGCCCTCTTGCTTACATGGCCTTGAGTGAATCATGCAGATGTTTGCTTTTTGACAGAGAAGCTTAATAGTTCCTTTTTTTCTTACCACACCCAGCAAAAGTACATATCTGCATTTCTGTTTGTCTGACACATGGCATATGTAAATATGTGTGCATATGTGTGTATGTAGACATTCTGGCTGTCGGATTGGATGTGTAAACATTGCACGTTTGGTGTTTGTTTTATACACATCAGAAATGTGCCTGCTTAAGGCACTGTTACCTGTGTTTGCCGTGAACATTTTCTACAAATTTGAATTCCTGAAATACGTGGCTGCCCCCTTTGTAATGTTCTGTGAGTTTTAGCAGAATTTTGATGTGAACTCAGTGTAATTTTCTATACTCTTGGCTAAAGTGAGGTTGCTGGTCTGAATCATGCATGGTTATAAAGTGTGTATCTCATGCTTGAAAATCAATGTATTTTTAGTTTTTTCAAAAGAATGTTTCATGTTGGTGGTATAATAAATATTCTTGACCGTAATGTATAGCTTGTTTCATACCCACACATTCATACCCTAAACACTCTTTCATTCAGTTTCCGGTCCTTTTTTTTTTTTCTTGTCATGATATTAATCAAAGTTGCTTCCCTTATTCTTTCAGCCTCTTTACATAAACTTTCAGTCTTTCTTTGTTCCTGTTGCTGAGTGGTTGTTAATTTCTTTCTTTCAGACTGTGACAGCTTCCCTGCTCAGCAGCCGTGTTCAGGAAGTAGCACGGGCTGATGCTCCGTTGGAGCGCCGTAATGACCATCTTGCAGGAAGCATTTGGGAAGAGGTGAGGAATCCTTGGGCGGCGTCTCCCTCATCATAGTGGTTGACGTATTACTGCCGTTTTTACAGATGTTGGACTGCATATTTACAGTGCAGTATGTCATTTGGGGCCTTGTTGTTTTGGTGTCAGTACATGTCCTTATGCACTGGGCCTGTATTCCTGCTGTGGATTATTGGGCCCCATCCGTTTACCTCTAAAGAAGCTTGGGGAAGGAGATACAGAAGAGCACTGTGCATCAAGTTGTGAAGCACTTGGGGTTTTTATTCTAGCTTTTGGTATAACCTGGAGCCCTCCAGATGTAAAAGTACAAGTCTTTGAATACTGCCAAAAATGCCAGTTATGCTATAGAACACAATTTATGATCTTTTGTAATATAAACTATATTGTGAATTTTATATCATGAAATTTCACTATGTGAAAGGACATGAACTTAATTTCCAGAATTTTTTTTCTGGGTTGCTTTAGAAACCAAAGCCAGCCTCTACCCTGTAAGTCCTTCTAGGTCATTCTAGAGCTCTGTCACTTCTGTTCTCTCATGGTTTATTCTCCGCCCCCTTCCCATTGCCTGAAGGCCAATTATTTTTTTCCTTCCCAAGGCAGAGACAGTCAACGGAAGGCTTGTGAGGAGGAGAGAGTATTTGCTTACAGTTAGCCTCGAAAATGTGAACTCAGGATGCGGTTTCACACAGGATATGTGCTCATCCCCCCCAATCTGCATGCATTTGATCATCCCATAAAATAATACCAACGACACGGAGTTGGGGGGGGGGGGGCTCTTGGCTCGGTGCCATCAGGAGAAAGTGTCATGTGACCGGCCTGGCGCTGCTGATTGTGGCCTTGAGAGCATGATGAACGGCATGTCCGCTGACTTAGGGCATCCCCTCCTTTTTCGCCTGGCTCTTCTAGGTCTTTTCGCCTTTGCCACTGTGGTAAACAGTCTTTGGAAGACTGCAGCAGAGGTGCCATGTTGGCTGTGAACGATACCATGATTTAAACGCTGCCAAGTGATTGGCTCAGCCCATACCTGTATTCGGAATGACTGGCCCTCTCTTAGGAAATTCGTTCATCCCTTGTTATTTTATTTAGGTACCCGAAGTGATTTTTCATTTCACGACAGCAGCGTTCCTTGTGGGACTGGAGTCCACGACTTTGTGTGTCCCAGCCAATAACCTGCTCCAGATAAAGCTGTCATCTGCGCCTTGACTTGTTGTTTGTTAATTTGTGTGTTTATGTATCTTATATCCTTTTTGTTATATACCCTGACTGTAAAATTGCCCTCTTTTTCACTCAGTTACTAGATATAATGTCATGCAGGAGAGAAGAGCTGCAATTAGGAACCCTTGGGATCTTGCAGGTACCCGACATGTTACAGGATGAGTGATCCTACCTTGGTTGATTGAGGCCCTCACTGCCCTTGGATGAACACAACCCTCACGAGCTGTCTGAAAAATTCACGGTGTAACCGGCAGATTCAGAATGAGACCCATTGGGTGACGTCCTGCTCAAGGAGAGTTTGTTACTGCTTTAGTAATTCTGGAGGTCCCAAGCACGATGTTTCATGGTTACTAAACCAAGTGTCCCCTTCCATTCATTTCAGTTGTGCCCTGGTCCGATTGGCAATACCCCACCCTATTATACATTGTTTTTTTAGCAGACACTTTTATCCAAAGCAAAGTAGAAGGGAGACAAACACCATGTTACAAATATATGACTGTCAAGGAGTCAACTAGATAGAAATGGAATAAGAGCTACATTTTCCAAGAAAACAAGAATATAATAGGACAATTATTTTAATCAGAGGGAAGGGCGGCATTAAGAGCATTTGTTGAACATGGAATTGTATAAGACAGTGGAGGCCTTCCTGGATCAGTTGGGTTTTGAGGCTTTTCTTGAAGGTGGAGAGGGACACCTAATGAGCAGCTCATTACACAGTGAAGGAACAACTCATGAGAACTGTCTGGAGTGACACTTCTCAGCTGCTGGAGGGATCTCGTAGCTCCACTGTTAAGAAGACCAAGGAGGGTTTTTGGTCCCATAATTAATAATTGTATAAATACTTCAGTCTTTTTGTAGTTTTCTATTTTCCATTTTGAAGAATACAGAAATTAGCAGCCTCCTGAACAATAATCAACATGGTTTGTGTTTCTTAAGCGATGCGTTAAATGTATTAATAAACTGTTTCAGTCGTGTCTATACCAGGACATTTTGGTATGGTTAAAAACCATTGTGATACTGTTCCCAGTGATCCAACTGTTCTTTTGGCCATATCACGCAATTTCATGATCACGGACCTCAAACAGTGCTTGGACCAATCAAAGAGAAGCAATTAATACGTATATTACCTGACATAACATGAAACTCTCAAAATGGCTTGCCCACGAGAAGCCTGTGACTGCTGTAATACTAGCTGTATATTCAGCATTGAGTCTTCTGGCTCTGATATCCTTAAACAAGCAGGCCAGATAGTTTTTAATCATAGGCCGTTGGTGTCCACAGGCAGAGGACACCAACGTTAATATCTTGTTAATATCTGCTGTAATGAGATTGGTTCAGCATTTTGAGTTGGTAGCAACTTTTGAACACCCCTTTGGTTTTCTAGATTACTTTTGGTGGATTCCAGTATGTCAACACCTTTGTCATCTTTCCTCTGTGTGTGTAGGCAAGTACATATATTATATTATGGGGACCGCATAACCCCACGGTGTGATTAAAAAGCTGTTATTTTTTACCTTGTGAGGACATTTTTCCTGTCTCCACAACAGAAGTCTGTTTTATAAAAATCTGAGACTGTAATAAAAAACAATAGGGATCTTGCAGCTGTCGCCGCTTGTTCCCCTAATTAGCCAAAAGTCTTTTGGTTGGTCATCTAGGGTTAGGGCTGGGTAGGGGTAAAGGTTGCCATAGTTAGGATTATGGTTTTGCCCATAGAAATAAATGGACGGTCCCCACAAAAATATAAAAAGAAATGTTAGTGTGTGTGTGTGACATAGATAAAGGAGTATCGAATGGGTTATGAAGGGTGACAAGTTTATTTAATACTGAATAATAATAACGGGATTATGAATATTAATAAATAATTATGAAAACCACAAAGCACATATTTGGAAATCAAGAGAATTATGTTAACGACAATTAACCTGTGCATATGCACACAATCTGCTGTTAGCATGCTTTTCCAGCTTCACCGGCAGCCTTGGTATTGATCTTTGCCGTTATTTTACTTTTGAATACTTCATAATTTACCATAACAATTCATTGTTCCGCTGCATTGCAATACATAGCCATCCTTGCGTGATTGGCTAATTGTTGCACGCGGCATGCTTTTATGTGTACACGCTCAGCAAGTAATCATGGTTTCAATAAAATGGCGACAGATTGCTGATAGTCAACGTTGTGATACCGTTTGTCTTGGTTTGCATTTGTATAGTCAAGTTGGAACTTATTTTGGAAGCTCTTACTTTGTTGAACCAGCTTCCTGATACAGGTCTGAGTTAACAGAACCGGAACTGTCTGAGAATTCCAGTGCAACTCAGTCTTTCTTGAAAGTTCCCTCTTCCCAAAAGGGAGAATTATGAATTATTTAACCATTCTATTTTTCGAGAAGTGTGATGGAGCCCCTCATTTTGCCAGGGCCTAGGCTATAGCCTTGGGTAGGCTATGCATTAATCTGCCCCGAATCATGAAATATGAACCCAGCATGGCATATCCTGAAGTATTTTTTACAGACTGTCCCCAACTTAGAACCTATGTAATTAGCTGGAGAACAATTTAAAATGGATTTGAGGAAGCACTTCTTTACACAGCGTATAGTTAGAGTATGGAATAGTCTTCCTGTTAGTGTAGTGCAAGCTAAAATCCTGGGTTCCTTTAAATCAGAGCTAGATAAGATTTTAAGAACAAGTTGAGTTCTCCCCAAACAAGCTTGATGGGCCGAATGGCCTCCTCTCGTTTGTAAATTTCTTATGTTCTTGTGCAACGTACATTGACTCCCCCCAAACGACCGAAAAATTGTGCTAGGCTGGACTATGCTACCTAGTGTGCGCTACATTACCACGGGAAAATACTGTACTGTATGGCAGCACATTGCATTCCGAGGTACAACCTGTCTGTCAGAACAGAACCTAGTTGTAAGTCAGGGACATTCTGTGTCATAGTTTCCGTTGTCCTGTAATTACCAGATTTCGACTAGGAAAATCTGTTGAAGTCTGACAAATTTAAACCTCTCCGTAATGTTTGTAAATGTTGTGGTAAAAAACAGTACTATATAAATAAAGATTAATTGATTGATTGAAAATAATTCCCATTAAGCAAAATTTAAATTGTATTAAAATACGCTTTCCTATATGCAGAATGAAACTGCATTTGTTTTATTCACTCTGATAACACGCGTCCGATAATAAGCACAGATAATAATTGAATGGAATATCTCCCATTTGTCTGGGACATTGAAATCTTACCAGATGTGCAGACCGGCACCAGTTTTTTCTAACACAAATGCTGGTCTGCATATGTGTTTTTAAAGTCCTGCTTGCAGTCATAGTGCACAATGGCACTAAGCAGGAATCAAGCTGTTTACTCAAAAGCCCGTTCTACTGGGATGGTTTGTGAGTTTTTTTCATTGCCATGGTGACTCTGGATTAAGCTCTGTGGAGAAGACACTTAAAAAAAAAAAAAAAAAGCACCTCACTGCCTGGGGTCTGACGCAAGCCTGCATTAGTCTTTATTAATTACCTTCGGCACCTGTCCTGACCTGTACTGTGCCAGAGCTCCTGCCCGTGACACTGCGATGACAGCGTGCATGCACATCTGCATGCTACCTTCACCCAAAGACCTGCCCTGGCATGTTCTAATGGAGGCATTTAATGGCCTTCAGGGTCTAATTAGCCTTCTGAAATGGCAGGATATTTATATACATCAATGGTTCTCAATCAGTTTTAGTCTCCGCCCACAGCCAGTTCACATATTTGTCCCAGTCCACCACCTGCATGCCTGAGTGAGGTTGG